GGCTATTTACAGACGCAAAATCCGGACATGTCCGGGGAAATACGGACGGATGGTAACCCTACCCAACATGGCTGCCGGCTCCTCCCCCCATGACTGCCGGGGGCCCCTTTCCCTGCCCTTCCCCCTCCTCCCCCTGTCCCCAGAGTGGTCTGTGGCCCCTGCTGACCCCCTGCACTGTCTTCTCCCCAGACTGTTCCTGGCCTGCAGCATGGGCTGCCATCCGGGTGTGCCAAGGTAGGAGCTTGTGACGCCCGATTCATGCAGGTGTCACCAACTCCCTAATGGGCTCCCCTTGCTGAGCATCTGTGGGAGCCAGACACCCCCCTGCAGCCCATTGCCATGGGGCCATCTCACGTGGCCCCCTGGGCCTGGCAGCTGGGTCAGTTCCAGCCCTTCCGCCCAGGGGAAGCTGGGCACAGAGAGCTCGGGGGTCACCCACTGAGGCCCTGGCAGGGCTGGGGCAGTGAGTGAGGAGGAGGGTCCCTGGGACAGGGGCTCTCTGGGCTGGGGGTTCCTGGGGCAGTGAGGGGTCCCTGGGACAGGGGCTCTCTGGGGCTGGGCTCGCTGGGTTGGGGTCTCACTCGCTCTCCCATGGCAGTGCCCAGGCTGCAGATCTTCGTGGGGCCGGAGCACGTGGTGGTACAGTTGCAGGACGTGCCCGCGGGGCAGAACTTCTTCGTGTGGTTCTATTGGAACCAGACACATCAAGAAGAAGGACTCAGGATAGAGGTGAGTGAGGGGCCTGCCCCAGAGCCCCTCTTCCCTATCCACTTCGTACCCTGCCCCCCCTGCCCTTCATCCCCCCACCCCCCTCCTCTGGACCTCCCCGTGGCCCAGCCCCACAACCTCCACGCTGGCCCCCAGCGGCACTCTGGGCTTTATTCCCTGTAGCTCTCCATGGGAGGGCAGTGGGGTCGAGAGCTTAGATCCAGGGGCTGGGAGCCAGGACTCCTGGGTTCTGTCCCAGCAGCCTGGGCTGAGCCCTTCCCTCAGTTTCCCGCTCTGTGCCATGGGGGCACTTTGTGGCACTGGCAGTTGCACGGCGGTGAGGGGGTGGCCAGGCTGGGTGGCGGGTGACCAATGTCTCCTCTGTTTCTGTCTGCAGAGGGGGCTTCAGAACTACAGCCTGCCCTCCGCCCAGCTGCTGCCCTGCCTCTGTCTGCAGGTAGGGCCTGGGCTGGGAGCTGCTCCCCTCGGGGCCTGGCGCTTGGCAGGCACTTATGGGGGCAGCAGGGGGCGATGTCCCCAGGGTGGGGGGCACTGAGACCCCAGGGGTTCCCCAGGGTGGAGTGGGGGGGCCCAGCAGGGGGCACTGAGAGCCCAGGGGTTCCCCAGGATGGAGTGGGGAGCCCAGCAGGGGGTGCTGTGCCCAGGGTGGGGGGCACTGGGAGGCCAGGGGTTCCCCAGGGCAGAGTGGGGGGCCCAGCAGGGGGCACTGGGAGGCCAGGGGTTTCCCAGGGCAGAGTGGGGGGAGCAGCAGAGGGCGCTGTCCCGAGGGTGGGGGCACTGGGAGCCCAGGGGTTCCCCAGGGTGGAGTGGGGGGGCCCAGCAGGAGGCACTGAGAGCCCAGGGGTTCCCCAGGATGGAGTGGGGGGGCCCAGCAGGGGGCACTGTCCCCAGGGTGGGCGGCACTGAGAGCCCGGGGTTCCCCAGGGTGGAGTGGGGAGCCCAGCAGGGGGTGCTATGCCCAGGGTGGGGGGCACTGGGAGGCCAGGGGTTCCCCAGGGCAGAGTGGGGGGCCCAGCAGGGGGCACTGGGAGGCCAGGGGTTTCCCAGGACAAAGTGGGGGGACCATCAGAGGGCGCTGTCCCGAGGGTGGGGGGCACTGGGAGTCCAGGGGTTTCCCAGGGCGGAGTGGGGGGACCAGCAGAGGGCGCTGTCCTCAGGGTGTGGGGTGGGATCACTTTGTGCTGTCACTCACTGTTTCTTGCCCAGGTCTGGCCAGATATCCTGGATCCCCTCAGGACCAGCCTCTGCCCCTTCACTAAGGGTAACTAGGCCACAGTCATCTACACCTGTCTCGGGGAGGGGTGTGCGGGGGGGCTGGGCTCCTGTCCGTGTGCCGGGAGGGGAGTTGCGGGGGTCTGGGTTGTCTGTGCCCTGTGTGTGTGTGTGGGGTGGGGGGTCGTGTGTGTGTGTGGTGGGTGGGGTC